ATAAATGCCATTGGACAGCTAAGGGAAATGAATTCGCTGACAGAGCTTCTTCGCAGAAATATTTGTGTTGTTTTTCACTGATATTTGCGGGGTGACTGTTCATGATTTAATTCAATGTTCAAATTATTTTAATTTACCGTTGGCTGATGCTAATGATCGGAAATGCTGGGGGTCTCAGTTGGCAAGTTACTTTTTAGTACAGACACGTCAAAATAGTTTCAACAAATAATAACTGATACTCATTGCACAAGAGTTGGCTCTTATGATTTACTAACCTGAGGGAAAACACTCCAGCGTTTGAAATGTTGGAAACATGATCCGTATCTCAATGGGGACACTGTCATATACTGGATATACAGGTACATTCAGCTGATAAGTCCCAGATGGAAAGAGATGCACCTCCTGTATTCCACTGCTAGCCACCGCCAACTAGTTAATATAATGTTAGCCCAAGCTGCTTAACTTTGAGTTTCTGTCGCAGTGGTTTAACAGAGAGAAGCATTCCGTGTTGTTGGTCAGTGCTGAACACATTCAAGTCACTTTTTCTTAAAATACGGAGATAATAACCGTAATTATATCATTCTTATTTCATTCGATTCTTTTCAATGACTTGGATTCTGAATATATAAGTGAATCCTTGGCTTATATATATATATATATATATATATATATATATATATATATCCAATATCATCAAATCAGTGTGCATCGTGATAGCGAGCTACCTGGAATGGTGGCCACATTGCAAACCTGACTGATAGAATTCAGTCTGCACCAAAGAAAGGACTATACACATCGCACTAGTTACTAGTGTCCAATCAAAATACCCACTACAGTCCTACAGGAGGTCAGTCGCGAGCCCGAATAGCTCAGTGGTAACGTCTCTGAGTGCAGAACTCACTGGGTGACGCGGGTTCGAGTCCCAGAAGTGACAGGAGTTCCTTCAAGGCTGCAGATACGCTTTGCTGACTGGTGAGCACCAACTAGCACGAAATCTAGGTCCAAGGCTTCCTGCTGATTGCCTCCAACTATCCAATTTTTATATATATATATGTATATACATATATATATTTATATAGATATATAAACATTTGTTGTTCAGCTGCTTACAAAATAAAAATGTAAGATCAGATAACCAGTCTTACAGAATTTGTAGATCTCCAATCCAAGTGAAGACTTAGTTCTTTGAAGATGCTATGCCATTGGCCAAACACTATTCATTATTCCCGATTAATGGAAGACGAAATAAGATTTAAGATTAAATTTGTTATTCGTAGAGCACAAAATCACAGGTGATAGTTCACCTTGTTTTGTTTAGAAATCATTTGGATTCCCCATCATTCATATCAACTATTCGTATTCATCATCTTGTTGCAACAGCAGGTTTGTTTATAGCGATTTCCAGTATCTAATGCTAGAAATAGCTTTATAAAAATAATGATAAACTGGAAATCCACATCACAACTTATTTATGTTAACTTAATCAAAGTTCTTCTGCGTGAAAACTTCTACGTAGTCAAATTGTTGCAAGGGTAACTAAATAATAAATACACAAATGTGCATATTACATGTGATAATTGTGTGCATGTACTATTACTTTACGGAAGTTTTAAACCTCCCTACGATTCACATCGTCGTTGTGATCTTTTATCCTATTAATTTCATTACACACTGCATCTCGTAATTGCGTAGTTATTTTCTACGGCATCTGCAATGCAGAAAATCCTTTTTTGGGGTGAAATTTTGTCTGTGAAACTTTGATTTTTGTGTCCTCCGTCGTCTGCTGTCAACACCTGAAATATCACTCATATTTATCTATCTTAACATATATATAAACTGAATATTCACTTCGTTATCGTTACAATCATACTTTGTAGCAGTTGAAGTGGAAACTCGCCTTTCAATCAGAGTGTCATCGATTCCACATATGCTTTGCTTACAAAGGTTTTTTTACAAGTAGTATTATCAGCAATCATCTATAAGACTTGAGTCATTGGCTGATGCATAAACTTATATGTAAATGCTTGTATAATATAATATATATTCAAGGTTATTTGGATTTCGCAAACATTGAATTGCATAGTTTGCAAACACTGGGTCCATCTCTGTGTGTTATCTATTCCTTAAAGAAGTGTCTTTATAAATGTAGATACTAGTGTGGATTTCTTGGCTTTTACTTTTTTGTTATTAGTTACTGTAGCAATTATCATTTTTTTATACCTTAGTCAGTCCCAATGTGATTTTATATAGATTCCAGTCTAGTGTGACAAAATATTCATTATTCACATGAGCTGTGGTTAGCTAGTTACTAGTAGTAAGGGAATGAAATCTAGGATTAGAGAGAATAAGGAAGAAAATCATAAAATCCTTAAAACATTATGACGTAGATTTTTTTCCCCGCCTGTTATTGATTCCCCAACACACAGCCTTTCAAGTTCATTCAATTCTTCCCATTAGTGAACCTTAACAAAGCTGTGATTTCCGTTTCCCCCTGTAGGATGATATTACGCAGGAAACTTACTGTTTCTCTATAATTTGGTCTTCTACTTCTCAATAATTTAATAATTCCCATTGTAGCATTAAGAACACAATATTCAGCGAAGAGACTCTTTCCAACGAATTTATTATCAAGCTGTACTATCTACCTCAAAGAGCTTTTATTGAGATGCACGTTGAATGTTCAGTTCACCTTCAATAATAAGATCTTTAGACTAAGAGACGTCATTGCCATGGGATCACCACTGGGTCCCTTGTTGGCTGATTGTTTTATGGCAAAGCTTGAAAATTCTCAACTTAGTCAAACCATCGGTCATTTTGACATATATAAAAGATACGTAGACGACACTTTCGTTATCTGCGATAAAAAATATAATTCTTGATGATGTCTTGTTTGCTTTCAACAACTGCCGTCCTTCTTTACAACGCACCGTAGAAAAGGAGTCCGAACTAAGTATTCCCTTTCTTGATGTGTGCCTTAGCAGACATAATGATGGATCTCTCAAAAGATCTATCCGCCGGAAACGTACTTGGAACGGACAACTAGCTAATTTTTATAGTTGGGTGCCTATTTCCAGGGAAAGGAATATTGTGTTCTTCTACTTCTACAAATTAATGGCGCGGTTATTTATTTATTTATTACTGATTTAGATGCTTTCCAAGTGATATTAGTTAATTCGTATTGTAAAAAAATGTAACAAATATTCGTAATCCCCTAATCTCAGTTCTCATCTTTATATGTATGTATATATCTATGAAGTATGTCTTGGTCATCTGGAATTATGAAGTGTATGCTATCTGTTTAGTGGAACAAATTAGTATTAAGACGTACGATTCGCAATATTTGTTATATCAGTATAATATTGGGTGGTTAGATTTTATCTATATTCAATGATTTTATCATGTATAATTATGTCAAAACATTGATTTGGTCATGTACCTTATAATTATATGCTAATAAATTAGTTTTTAACAGATGCATGTAATTATTTTTCTCTCTTTTGGCTCATGTTACAAATGGACAACAATTTATGTGAAAATCAAATTTTTTTAATCTTACATGAAGGTTGGTGAACTGTGGCTATATTTAGCCGGCATTCAACAGTGCATTCCAGTTTTCATTGTACGAAATCGATAAGTGACTTTTAAAAGGTGTTTTACCACAGTTGGTTTTCACAGTCAAGTATATTTTGTGCTACTAACTAAAGTTGTTTATGGTATTGAAGTTGACCGATAGAAGTTTCATAGAAGTTTGAAGTTTTGCATACTTAATTAGCAAGAGTATGTAGTGGACTTGTTTAGCAACTTTCTGAATTCACTTACTGTAGGAATTAAAATTTTCCAGTGAAACATTTTTTTTCCAGTTTTGTTTGTGTCCGTAAAAAGTTCTCCAGATATTAAAATCAAATTCACAATTTGCAATTTACACATTTCGAGGGAGTGAAATTTCATCACCGTTTCTTTTAGAGGCCAACAATATTCAGATCACGATATGTGGTCTGCTTGATGCCATAAGTGGTAATCAAGAAAACCACTACAAATGAGAATGTGTATTGATTTTCTTCGTCAGTTATCAACCCATTGACATTTTGACACTGTTTAATTATTGTTAACAAACATATCGCCACTTGTTTGGTAAACTGTTGTGTATTGTAATAAAAATGCTATGTATATTAGAGTAGAGTCAGAGATGAGGATCTAATTGAAAAGTAAATATTTCTTCGCCCAATCTTTCTGTTTTCTAAATGTCTAAATGGGGATTTTTTCTATACTGAAATTAGATTTAAGGTGTTACCAGTTGTTCGTTCAAGTAGACAGCCAGAAGTCGGGTCATTTAAACTGATTCGGCTCTCTAAGCTAAGTCAAATCGGGCATTCTGCGTGATGAGCTCGGCCTGAAACGAGCCGAACTGTGTAAATTGCTATATTTTTACTGTATCATTGACATTACATATTTCATCATCTTTATCGGCTCTCAATTTTATTTGTGTTATAAACCGACTTGTCGTATTCATCAAAAAGGATTTCAGTGATGTGAGTAATTTATGCATGTTTGATTTCTTATAATTTTGATATGTTCACAGCTTTGGGCATCAATCTTGTCTCCACTTTTCAGCATACCTTCACAAATTATGGACAATTTCCATCGTTAATAAATCCATATCCTTTTGTTTTTGACATTCGGTATCATGAGTTCGTACGTCTGAGAAACTACTCTAAAGTTAGGGTTTCTCAGATTATGTAAGGATTAGTTGTGTTATTGAACTATCCGTACGTTATCCAGTAAGGTTTGTAACATGCTAAATAAAGTGTTACATCTAACCTACAAATCTCAGTGAATCTTCAACTTTCAGTAATTTTCCAAAAACAATCGATTGTTAACATTATTTCTTATACAATAGGTGGCGATCCCACGCAAAACATGTATGCATTGCTCTTTTATTTCTTGTTATCGATTTAATGTCTAATTGATGTCTAATACGAATGTATTTTAAAATATTTTAGGTCATATCCCTTAAATCCAACACAACTAATTTTACGTGGTGCATCGCTGAAAAATACAAAATGGATCTTTGGTAAGAATTTGAGTTACTTATTCAATAGTATTGTTACGCTTAGTATCTCTATCATTCTGTGTGGTTGACATAATAGAATGAGTGAGTAAAGATATGGAAATGATTAAGGAAGTTAGGTTGACCATAATGGTATCAATTTGTGCAAATCAATGTACCAGTTAGCTGCAGGTTACTATGGTCTAGTCACAGTGACTTAGATTTAATATTTGCATTCATTATGGCCACTGTAAAATAAAGTGTAATATGGAATTATTCCCTGCTAAAGTGTCCTAATGTGTTGTGCGTGGGTGGCACAACGGTGGGATGCTTGCCAACCACGCATGTGGTCTGGGGTTCGATTGCTGGCCGACGCACTCCCTTATCTCGCTAAACCAGTAGTAAGATTGATAAAGAGGGAAGGTTGGGCATGAGGCTAACACCACTGTTACTGAAACTTCAAGCCTCTAGCTTGAAGCCCTATGTTCCACTGGGAACGTAAAAGAATAAAAAAGTGTCCAATTCTTACTCTCATATTGCAGTCAAAATGGACCATAAAAAGTATTCTTTGTGGATGCATTAATTATGATGGGAAAAGAACCAACAGGGAGGTCTAAATCTATGTTTCATATACCAATTCTTGCGGAAACGCATTTATTTTCCCCTGGATTCAAAATATAGCTCTTTCCTTTATGCGCTTCCATTTTGTGAAACATGACGCTTTACGACTATTTGTTTCTATGGTTTAGTCCCTGAGCGTTTATAAGTTACAGAAATTAAAACGATGGCATCTGTCGAATTTGCCACCCAGACAATGTTTTCTCTTACTGTAAAACTAAGCTTTCACACACACGAGATAATTATTTTTTTTCTGAAGCCCTTGAAGTATATAATGTGTGCTTTGTCGTATTCAACTGAATACAAATTCCTTTTTTTGTCGTGGTTAAGGGACTACCCATTCCACTTTTTGAAATTGAATAATATACTGATATTCATTTTTTTTTCTCTCATTACTGCCACCTTACAATCTTGGCATTAAAATATTCAGCTACCTATGTAGTAGTCTCCATCATTCTGTTTTCGAATATTCAAGTGTGGTTGATTAATTTTTTGATGAAGAAAGGAAGACGAAATTTGCAGTATAAAATGATATCATTCTATTTCACAGGTTCTCATCAGCTGCAGACTGCCTGAAATTACAATGGTTATATAGATGATAATGACATACTTTAATGTTTGAGTGGTAGTAGAGAAGAGATACTATAAAATTGATGCATCCAAAATGAAAGCATTACAATTTTATAGTTTAAGTTTTCATCATCAGTTTATACGCTTTCAAAGTTGGAAAGAAGGGGAAGGGGTAAGACAGAAAACAGAAAAAATTAATTAACAAAACAGTGTTGGCTTGTAAGTTCACATAGCAACTCAAAAAGCAAAGGCGGTTACAGTTGATGAGATTAAGATTTGCTCAGTGAGTTGAGATCACTGAATTAGATGACTAATTAATGTAATCAAAATCAAAATTCAGTTACCAAAGTATGTTATTGTCATCTGTATAACCATTCTAACTTCAGGTAGTCCGCAGCTGATGAGAACCTGTGAAATGGAATATCATTTTATACTGCAAATTTTGTCTTCCTTTCTTTATCAAAATTCATCAAGGGAACCAAATGTATGAAGTGATTGATTAATCGTCATACATTATTTAATGACACACTGTCTAATGTAATTGCATAACTAGTGTATTTCGACGTTACATACGGCTAAACCAAAATTGGCATGTTGTATTGCTGATTTTAATTGCTGGCGTATGGTTGTAAATTATTATTATTATTATTAACGCCATTTTCTATTACTTTCGTATTACAGGTTTAGCAGTGTACACTGGCAAAGAATCAAAAGTTATGCTAAATTCAACTGCAGCTCCACTTAAACGATCATCGGTTGAACGTCAAACAAATAATTATGTAAGTAAACATTTTTAAACTATCCATCTTCTTTTTGTGGATACAATTTATTCATGCAAGCAATCATCACATAATGATATTATATCGATATCTATAAGAGTTATTTCTTTTTCATTTAGAAGAGATGTATATATGTATGTTTTAGGTAGGTAATGTCTGTTTGGATACCATATTCCAAGTAAAAATCTTGCAATTTGTGTGGTCAAATGCCGTTAATAGGCAAATGCAGTAATTTGATTCGATCAATAAAAGAGTTCATTGCATTGATGTTCAACTATGTATAGACCCGATTTGTATTTACTGCATCCACCTTCCATTAGGGATTTTTGTATCTTCTGGTTGACTTTTATACCCTGACCCTATATCCTTTAGTGCATAGAGTAAACCTTTGACTGACTTAATTTATTTGTCTAAAAGTTTTTATTGAAGTCCTTTGTTTTTGGAGTTCAACACGTAAAAAACTATTACATTCAAATAGCTTCGGATGTGTTGTATTGCGTTCTGTTTGGTGGTGGAGATTCCATTGCCATTCTAACTAACATCATCAGTACTAACTTCATATGTGTTTTAATAACTAGTTCTTCTAATATTCTATGGGATTAGTAGTTTGTGCAGTCATGTCGTGTATATATATATACCTTGAGCGTTTTGCTGACTTAAAACTGTCACTTTATTGTTTTTTTAACTATCTGACGATTTAAGTAAAAGTTTTAGTTAAAGGTGGTGTTACGAAGAAGAGTTAGACTCTTAGAGATGTTCTGGACTCTGTTCCAGGCAACTGAAATAGCTGACCAGAGTTTACGTCATCTTGATCCTACCAACGACTGCTTCTCATAGCATGTAGCCTAAGACTCTAATTCAACAAGAAAAAATCCCTGGAAAGTTTTTGAAGAGCTTGTTATTATTCAGGCCCGCTAGCGATAAATACGCGCATTGAACTTTAATCCACAGAAAGTCAGCCAGTCGAGCTGCTTAACCACTCACTGAAAAATCTGAATAGTTTGCTTAATAATAGAGTTAGTGCTGCTATTCTTCTTGTTTAGGATGCTAATTCAAGTAACAGAATGAAACTATCCAGCCCAGAGAACACACACTGTGATCAGTTAATTTACCATGGTAAAGTAAAAATAAACTTCAGTGATGTAGCTGATTAGTGTAGATCCGAGACTAACCAATTATCCAATCAAAATCACTCGTTGTTACAATTACTGTTATTCTTATCCATTATCTTCATACAAGTACCTTCAGTTTTGTTGTTATACTAGATCAAATGTCAATACAAATTTAATGACACTTTCATTAAGTGTTTCTAGTCAACCTCTTAATTCTCTTTGTTGAACATATCTACTTATTTTCTTTTTTTGTTCATATTTTAGATATTGATTCTTTTTGGCGTACTGCTATTTTTGACTTTATTCACATTCATTGCTAACTTAGTCTGGACATCAAGGAATGAAAGTAAAATGTGGTACATGCAAGAAAGTGGTATGTGATCTTAGTGTGTATTTACTTCTACTATAATACACATATATTTTTATTATTCTATGATTTAGAGACTATCTGAGTCCGACAGATTTGAAGTTACAACAAATAATTCTAAAGCGTTATACCACGATAACAAAGTGTATAAGGTTCAGTACCTTAAGCTCATTTTATATCCCAATAAATTTCCATATGAGAACTGTAAAACTGAAATTGTGAAATAATAGAAAAAACTTGTAACTCGGGTGAATGTTCTTTGGTACTTTAGTTATCTCTGAACTAGTTGGTTTAATTGAAAAGCTCTCTTTTTGTTTCTACACGACATTTGCAGCTTCTGCTGTAAAAAATAAAGTGAGATTTTGGAATTCTAGCAGTAAAAAGACATTGCTTGAATTCATTCATATCAGTTCACGTGATCAACTATGGGAATGTGAAGATCTTAAAGAGAAAAAACAAGATAAGCTCCTGGGAATAACCAAAAACTTCGTACTCAAAGCAATTTGTAGTTGACAGACATGTGGATAGTGGTCATTTTTATCGATTTGTAAGAGCGATCAAAGGAATAAGTATCAGGTCAGCAAAACGATCAATATCAATACAAAAAGACTACAATCTGAAGGAAATCTCTAGAGAAAACTAACCTCAGCCGAGGTCAGTAAACAGGATGAATATTTCACCCATGGAAAATCCCTAAATCCCACTCTATTTTAAAGCAAGGAGTGAAAATGTATTCTAGAAAAACAAATAAGGCCTAACAATCTAAGCATCCAGCACCAAAAATGTGGGATTATATTACAACGTGAAGAATTAAAGTAAAAAGATTGTGTAGTTTTTGTTTTGATAAACTGCTTTGGTCAGTTTCTCATCATTCCAATTAGACTGAACATGTTTATAACACATGATCATAGATCTTTAGAAAGTGGTTTTCACTCTTAAGGAGAATATAACCAATTCGTATATATGAAATATTACCCAGACATCCGAAGGTCTTTTATAGTTAGTACTTAAGTTTATGACCAACGGAAAACTCAGTGAGGCGTTCGAAATGAATACAGGAGTAAGACAAGGCCGCCTATTATCACCAGCGATGATATTCTTAATTGTGGTGGACTAGATTATGTGTCAGACTGGGCACAGGGAGTGAAAAGACAGGAATACGTTGGACGCCGACAAGAAGACTCGAGAAGATCTGGATTTCGTGTGTGGATGATTTATGTTTAATGTCATACAAATTCGGAGACTTGCAGGTGAATACAGAGAAGACAAAGGTGATGAAGATAACTGACCAACAGCAACGACAACTAGCAGCAATCACTATCAACGAGAGAGATTTGAAAGAGGTTACTTCATTCACTTATTCACCCAGGAAGCACGGTGTTATCCAGGCGGAATAGATGAAGATGTCAAAGCTGGTCAGAATCGGAAAGGCAAGATACGCCTTCATCAACTTTCAACCAGTTGGGAAATCTGCACTGACTCATTATATAGAACCAGGTTCGGATTTTCAACACAAATGCAAAGTGAGTCATTCAGTTCTTCTGTATGGGTCAGAAACTTGGCCAGCATGTCACGGAGATGATTTCCAACAAGTTACAGACTTTTATCAGCAGCCGCATTCGCTCCATACTGAATATCCCAAAGCTGGCCAGAAAGAATTAGCAAGAATGAACTCTGGGAACAAACCAACAGGTGAGAGCCTATTGCTCAACAAATATGTAGGAGAAAACGGAGATGGATCGGGCATACGTTGAGGGGGCCATCGAATGACATCGCACTCATACAGGCAATCGCTCGAGTGCGATCCGAATGGGAAGTGACGAGTGGGTCGTCGGTGCGAGGGTGACATGGGGGAGATCGTGCGAAGAAGAAATGAGAGATTATAGGCAATCGTGGACCCAGATGAAGAGGACAGCACCATGTAGAAGAAAGTGGAGATGTTTTGTTGAAGCCCCATGTTCCACTCAGAACCCAAGGGAGTAATAATAATAATAAAGTTATATCTTTGTACTTTATCAACTACTTTATAGGTACTGGGAACCAATGTGATTGTTTTCTCTATCTAAACAACTATATATATTGTTCTAAGGTTAGTAGGATTCTGACAGACGAAGATAAGTAATCAAGTAGTTGTATTTTTTATCAACTTATCAAGGTAAACGTCAACACGTGGAAAAAAAGTAACGAAATAGGTGTAATACTGAAACTTATAGAAAGCTATAAGACATTAAAGTGAAGAAAGATAGAGAATATGAAAGAAACTATGTGGATGTATATGTATCTCGTTTTATCGATTATGAATCGTACAACCGTACAATCCTTGAATTGTTCCCTTGTTGTTAAATTGAAACTCGCATAATAAATAGACTGTGACTTCGAACTGGGTTAGTTTATCCGATGGTGCATTTGAAATGTCACCAGTGAACAATATCATGTCACTTTGTGCTATCTGAAATATCGTAATTTATCGTGGAATTTGATGTTTTACCTTATTGTCAAAGTTCTATTTCTGTAACAATAATACATTATAGCATTTAATAGTATTAGAGATCTGTAATCTCCATGTTCGAAGACTGATCATGACCTTCAAAAAATGAATTATAGTTCACAAAATACAGCATTTCAGTGTGTGAGAGTCAAATCATTATTTTTATATTTCACGGTACCTTCGTGTTTCATTTACGCTCAAAAGGATTGTAGCAGCAGTAGAACACGTCTAAAGACTGTGTTAAAGAGTTCAATAGTATTAACACAAAGGTAATAAGCACACCAGCGGAGACTGATTAATTGCCAGATAAACTCATGGAAATAGTAAGCACTAAAGAATAGGGAACAATTGTCAAAATATTCACTGAAGCAACATTTACGTAACCCTGAAATATTATTACACAGTGCGTATAAGGTGTTACTGTGCAAACTGCTGTTTATCTTCATAGAGTATATTTCCAGTGAAGGTTAACTGTAGTAACTACCCAACTGCATTAATCGTTTGGTAAGCTGTGCTGCTCAGCTTCTAGTGTTACCGCACTGAAAATGGGATATTTTTGCCGCATATTCTTGTACATACAAATCAAGTATATTTTATTTTCACAAATCAAAGATTACTTGTCTGGATATACATACCATTTTAATGCTACCGATATTTTAGTAAGGTTGAAGGTGATAAAAGTTGATACATTTCCTAATAAATTGTTTTCTCACATTTTTTTGCTGAAGAAATCGTCAGTTTAACTGACGTTTTTAGATAGTTCTATATTGATTCTATATCTGTTGATTAGATTATCTGAGATAACCTTCTTTTGCCTGACTGCTCTTGTTTTGATACGGAGGATGAGTAAGTTTCGCGGAAGAATTCAAAACGTCATCTGTGCGGTAATTTCTAGCTGAAGGTCCTCTTCTCTGTATTCCATAAGACGTGTAATTGGCATAAAAATAGTTCATCTCCTCATCATTATCTGTTCTGTGTAAACTTTTTTCGTCATTATGTAGACGAAAATGTAGTTATCGAAGGAATTAATCTCAGTATTAGTTTTGTATATGATCTATCACCTTTCATCTTATATCTAATTAATGATACAGGATGTTACCTTTGGATCGGGTGGCTAAATCCGTTAGACCTAAACGCCCAAGGAAGTAATTGATGTTCTCTGCAAGGCGTTATTATTAGTGTTTCTTTCCTGCCAGCTTGTCTAAAGTGTCGAAAGTTTATTTACATTCAGCATCACTGAAACACGCATGGTATACTAAATTAAGTACTGTGCTTTTTAACTGGAGGATATGGATTTCAGTATTGTTAAAACTACCGTAGCGCATGTAGTCGATTAGAATTATTAATCCTGATGTACAGCATATTTGACTGTCAAATTCCATTTTGTCGCTCAAGTGATTTCCTATCACTGATTCACCTAAACTAGGAATTATTACCCACATCGTCTGAGAATCAATTTGGAACTCGACTCATCTACACTTGACTAGCTGCATTTTCTCCTCCACCCCGTCCTGTTTCCCTCTTTGTTTGTGTTTGTATTGTGTATTTGATTTGTAGCTGGCAGTAGAACCGCTGTTCGTCGTTTACTGGACTTTATCACATGCCTGATTTTGTATAATACGATCATACCGATCAGTCTACCGGTTATGCTTGAAGTTGTACGATTTATTCAAGCATGGTATATAAATTTGGTAAGTGAGTAGGATATGTTTTCTGCTCATTAAGGGGGTGTACTTTTTTTGTTTTTCTGTATGAATTTCACTCGTACTAATCATTGTGCAAAATTGCTAATTACCTATCATCTTTTCATTCTGTTTGTTTCTTTCTTGCTGTGTTCATTGATTGCCAATCTTCTCGCCTACGTCTATTGATGATTATGCCGTGTGTGTACTATGTGGCCATTGTTACACATATGTATATATGGGGATTGTTTATAACAATATCGTTGCTTATGATGTTGTTATTATCGTTGTGGTACATTTGCCTTTCATTATGTTTTTATGTTCTGCTTATACACATTTTTATTTATTCTCGTGACCCCCCGTACTTTTTGTCTACCTGTGTGGGTTGGTTGAATGGTAAATCTATTGTTGTTTCCTTCTGTGTTCCTCTTTGGTTTGTTTGTTTCACATTACTGGTTTTTATGTGTTGTGATGTAATTTATACACATATACGTGCACTCACCTATCTATGCTTGCGTATTCTCTGTTCACATCTTTTTCAAAATCCCTATCCTTAATTGATGTGTTTGTTACCACGGCGATGATGTCGTTGGCTGCAATGCCAATGCTAACTTCATGCTTGCATTTTGCTCTTTTGAAACGCACCCATAATAACCTATTGTCGTCTGCATACACCTGCTAATGTGTTATGCCATAATAATTTTAAACACATTTCACCGACTCTACCATTATTCAACTAGAAAACGGAGGAAAAGTTACCCTACGTTATGCCGTTAATATGTTGATAACATCATTCATTATGTATCATACAATGGTACCAATCAGTCTGCAAGTTAGCCTTGAAGTTGTACGACTATTTCAAGCATTGTTATTAAGTCGTGTACGTAGGTATTCTTGTTGTCGCTCTTACTCTTTTTGCTTTCCAGTGTGTTTCCCTTCCTCATATTGTTTTTTGTTTAGTTACTTCCACTTGATTAGTATGAACAAAATCAAGCGAGATTTTAACATTGAGTGATATGATAAGTTGTGACAGGATAATGCATAATTGTGTTGTCTGTCTGTCTGTCTATCTATTTGCATGTCCAACTATATGTGATGTGCTCAGAAGTTGTGTCGAAGTGTTTTTAGTTGATTGTAACAAAATTATGCAGTGTAAGGTAAATTAATATGATTTAAACAATGCTGTCGTATTAGTACAACTGCTCATGATAGTTTTCACTTGTATAATGATGCGTGATATATGTTTCAAACAACTGAGGAGTTGAATTTCAATAATAGATAATGAATAGTTTTGCTTTTGTTTGACGTTAATGGTGAATTGACTGAAGAAAAGACATAAAGGTGGGTTCACTTGGAATTCAGACCAGAGACTTCATTATTACTGATTCAATAATCAACTGATTGAGGTATATAATCTAACTGCCGGCTATCTTTCATTAGGTGAAGCAAAGCTTATTTTGAATAGTTCCAACAATAGTTGATCACCCATCTTCACTCGTTACTCAGTACTATTTAGATTAGGGTGGGAAGAAGTGGTGGTGCAGTTAGGAGACGTGATTCATTAGCTTAAACACTCGATTTCGAACTAGTGGGTCCTGGGTTCGAATCCGTTCCATTTACTTCTACCTTAACAACTGGGTGGTGTCGTCAACCCCTACACCAGGTGTTTGGTTCATAACCTGTGCATGGAAATTCTATTTAGGTTAACTTTGTTCTAACAGTTGAAGTAGTTAATACATCGAATCACGAACTATTCATTTATATGACATCTGGACATACTCTTCAGTAAGTGAAGGGATATTGGAATGTAGTCAGTAGTTATGTGTCGTAACTCCGTTGCTAGAACACTTGGTTAGGATCCTGAAAGCCTTTAATTTGAATTGCTTTTCTGCCTACTACCATCATCTTATGTACTTTAGTGAATTTATATACATGTCACAATAATGACAAGTACCTATTATTACCAGTACAAAGTATTTGTGTGTAACACCCTAAACTAATTATCCCTTTTGAGATCTCTGTAATAAGAACCAATATATTCAACACTTCAATTCATGTCATGAAAGCAAAAAGTAGTCAGAGAAGTTATAACAATAGCAATGCAAATCTTGTTTTTCTGGTTACCTGATGACACTAACATAAACATAGCCCTTCAATTTTTATTTTAAACGTGTATATCCCTGTTTTTCATTTCATTATTGTGAACTGATTACTGTCCATTGGCATTGGACACCCTTGTGTAATTGTGTGGGTATTATTAGTTTTCCTGTAGTTTTATAGCTTCCCTTCATAAATGCCTAGCCATCGCCTTCCTCGAATGACGGGCAGTGTTAGCTGACATAGGATGGGTCAGGTTGGAAAAAAGCCAGTGGTAGTCAAAACAAAACATGGCCTCCTCAGTCAATGAAATCCACAACAGTCAGTTTAATCCAGCCAGCTATCCACGTAGGAAGGTGTAGACTTCCTGACTGGTTGGGGTTTCTCGGGATGGTAAAAACCAATGGCGGCCGGTGATATGGCTGAAAGTGATCGTTCTCAATGGCCGGCGCAGATGCATCCACTCCTTGTGACTTATAATACCCTATGAAACTATATTGATCTTCGATAATACTATTCTTTTTGCCTCCCATCTCTGTTTAGTGTCTCTATTTCTCACTTTTTTACTTTCTTTTCTTGTTTTGTGTGCTACTTGTAGGGAGTGTGGCGACTGGAACTGCTGCACATCAGTGCAAAGTTCTATGTTGAAACCAGTCAGTCAGTCTTCATACATTTTGGTGAAGAAAAAAAAGAAAGTTTACAGCACACTCAGAATTCGTTATATTTTGTCACTTTTTATTTGTGCATCAGCTAGAAGTGAATTACAGTTTTTTCATGTATATATGAAAGTCCCACTAAGTGCCGAATCTTGAATACAATTAAATGTCTCCTCTGAATTTGAGTATACACCGCTATCAAATAAATAAGTCTTAAGATTTGTCGAAAAAACAATATCTAATAGGTTTCATGCTTTTAGTTGTGTTCTTTGAGCTGGGTGGTTTACTTGCAAAGCTTTCATTGTTCCTGCTAGATAACACCTTCAACGTACACTTCAATTTAACTTCATTCAGCTCAGAAAACACAACTACACCAAAATCATCCACTTCTCCATACTTTGACTGAAACATAAACAAATCGTTTAACCTAGCCTGATATTTCTGCAGTATAACACAAAACAAAGGACAGGTTCCAGTGAATTAACTTTCATGTTATGATACTGTAGAAGAGTGTAAATTGGCGTAAATAACAATAAATTTGTTTTTATACACAAATATGGTTTTGTTCCTATAATGCAAATTGAGTTAATAAATTATGATATTTTGAATAGAAAATTTACCTACTTGATTTCCTTTATGAGCAGAAAGAAGTGGAAATTTCCTGAAATGCTTTAATTGTTTTGTATTGCAATTCATTGCGCACAACATATGAATTAGAATTTAACAAAAATAATAATAATAATAATAGGGATTATAATGTTATATGGTTTTAAATGTTTACTGTCCCTTAGTGAAATGTAGAAAGAATTAAAATACAAAATTTAGATCAAATCTCTAGAGACTATAGATTAATCCAAGTTTCTAGTGCATGAATTAGAACTGGAATGAATCTCATTAGGGATTATAACATAAAATAAGTTGAGAAACTTGAATAAAATTAGCGAGTCATCAATGATTGTTTATAGAATCAATGGGGAGATTATTTGCAATCATTTTTAGGAGGAGAGCACATTTTGTGATGGTCAAAAAAATTATCTTGATCGAATTATGTAAATCAGAAAATATGTTGTCGGATTATACTAGTTTCTAGACCGTAAAATCATTTAAGATTGGTGGTGAATTCACCGTAAACAAACTTTCCTTCATCTCTGAAGTGTACCGAATAACTTGACTTCTGCTGCTGCTCGACCCTTATACAAAGCCAGTAAACTCACCATATCAACGACTATTCGAAAGATCTAAAATAATGTTATTCATGCGTTGTCTTTATACACTGCAATGAACATTTTCCTTCACTCTATTATAGTCATATCTATTCTGTCAAAAATTTATACTGAAATATTTAAGTCAGAACTCGACAGTTACACCTATTGTGTGTTGATTGGCTGCCTAAATCTCAGTAGGTGAGGTGAATTTCCAACTCGTAGCGGTTAGGACACTCGCCGACCATCCACATGGTCCGGGGTTCGATCCCCGACCGACTCACTCCTTTACCTCGCTAAGCCAGAAATAATGCTGGTGAAGAGGAAAGGTTGGGCATGAGGCTAGCAACCCCATCCGGTAAAATAAACACTGCTACAGAAACTTCAAGCCTCTAGCTTGAAGCCCTATGTTCCACTGGGGAACGTAAAGGAAAAAATCCCCAGTATTCAGATTTTAAGCCCCTAGATCAATGTGTCAGTGTTCTCCAGTTGCATGATATCGTTTTAGTGTGTCGAATCTGTCTGAAACATTATCATAAAGTCCGACTTTACACAAATAATAAGTTTTATTAGTCAGGCTACTCTCACTTACTGAATAAAATTACTGGTTTTCACTGGTAACTAGTTAGTTTTAATTGTGTATTTTTCTCACTTGTCATTCCAACTGATTTTTAATTTACTTGCCTAGATTTGTAGGTCATTATTAGGTTTTGGATTATAATTCTTGCTAAGGTCGAGGTAATAAAAGTAGTATTTCAAGGTTACCAATAAGTAAGTGTGATCATAGCTTAGTATGTGAAGGTGTGCTAGGTTGTATAGCTAATTTTTTTAACCTGCTTGTTAGGTAGTTATATGCGATTAACAGCTTGGTAGAAATGGCATTGATACTGCTATTTTTTCCCGGCATATATTTCTCACTCTTTATTATTGATTGGTTGGTAACTTGATGAAGTTCACATGCAATTTATAGGTCAGTGGGAGTAATCAAAGATGAAAAGGTTTTTCTTGAGATTAATTTGCTCTTTGCATCCTTTTATCGCTTCTATAATCTGTTTGTTATTTCACTAAAATAGTAGTTCAGAATAACATATTATTTGGCATCATTATCATTTTAAATATTGGAAATAAATGAAGCTTACTTCGATGTCAGTATTTATCAAGACCTGGTGATGTCTACTGTGGCAACCAGAGGAGAAGCATTAATCTACCCAGCAGCAGTCTTCCTATAATACCTAGGGACTTCATTTTTCAATAGCTGACTACTAAGAAAACTTTTTCAGGTCAATAAACTCCTCAACAGATTTGTTTCTCTTAATATATATTCAGTGAAATTGTTTAAATTCATTCTTAATGAAATGTCAACTAATATGCATATTATTTGTTGGCCAATCATAAATGATGACCAGTGTGTATTGATTTCGTGTTAACACGTGTTTGTGATAAGAGTTGATAAACTCCTTAAATGTGTTGTATACACTTCTCACTGTGTTTTTTGTACATGTTCGTTCTTTCTTTATTCAAAAAGAAATTATCTTTTCAATGAAGTTTTCTTGATGTTGTTTCATTTTCTCAAGAGTATAGTGCTTTGGAAGACATTCATTGTGAATTTTTTACGTTAAAGTGCAGTTTAATTAAATAACATCACTAGTTTGATAGTTGTATATGTGTAATCACCATTTTTCGATGATATAATAATATCGTGTAGTGAGACTTTGATGTTTTGTGAAGTGAAGTGATTTATGTTTAATTTGTACTTAAATATTACATACTGTTGAAGAAAACTTTTATTAGAAACTTGGGAGTACTGGACGGCTGTTTCATCCTAGTTCGGGACTCCTCAGCAGTACGCACCCACCGGGGTTCGAACCCAGGGTCTTCTGGTTGCAAGGCGAGCTCGTAGAACTCTAGGCCCCTGGGACCCGATC